CTCATAAGGCCCAATGAAACGAGGGGGCAACTTTTTGGACATTGATTTCAAGGGGATGTCTCTTGTGGAAAGCCAAACCTTCTGACCAGGAACAAACGTATGGGCAGCCCTCCTCTTACGGTCAGCCCAACGACGATTTTGTTCAGCGGTGCGGTTCAGGGCGGTGATGGTCCTGTTCCAGATGACCCTACACCGTCGAATGTGGTGCTGGACTGAGGTGACCGAGATGTCCTTTTCGTCAGCCGGGAACAGTGGGGGTTGATAACCTAATGAGACCTGGAAAGGGGACAACCCAATGGCAGAGGACATGTGGGAGTTATGTGCATACTCCACCCAGGGGAGGTAAGTGCTCCAGTCGGCCGGATTGGTGGCAGTTAGACATCTGAGGGTGGTCTCCAAATCCTGGTTAAGTCGTTCGACTTGACCATTTGACTGTGAGTGATAACCAGAGGTGAGTGACACCTTTGCTTCAAGAGCCCAACAAAAATTTCTCCAAACTTGAGCAGTGAACTGTGGCCCTCGGTCAGAGAGGATGTCCAGAGGTATACCATGTAATCTAAACAAATGCTTAACTAGGAGTTGAGCTGTTTGAAAGGCTGAAGGAAGTTTTGTCAGAGCCACTAAGTGGCAAGCTTTAGAAAATCGATCACTAATGGTCAAAATAGTGGTCATACCTTTGGAAACAGGCAGTCCGGTGATGAAATCGACAGCTATATGCTACCAGGGCGGTTTGGGAGTTGGTAAGGGTTGAAGAAGTCCTGAGGGAGGCTGATGGGAGGACTTATTCCGAGCACAAATGGGACAGGCTAAGACATAATCTTTAACGTCCTTTTGGACGGACGGCCACCAAAAATGGCGATTAACTAGAGCTACGGTTCTGCTGATGCCTGGATGAGCAGAAAACTTCGAGGAGTGTAACCAACTGATGACACGGGCACACATAGCTGTAGGTACGTACATCTTGTTGGATGGGCCGGTCCCTGGATCAGGCTCAGACTGTTGTGCTTGTTTAACAAGATCTTCGATCTCCCAGGTTGCCGTAGCAACCGAACAGCTAGGAGGTAGAATGGGGGCTGGCTCCTTCTCAGAGTCGTCTGGAGAGAAAAGTCTGGATGGGGTATCTGGCTTCACGTTGCGGGATCCTGGGCGGAAAGAAATGGATAAGTTAAACCGAGAGAAGAATAAAGACCAACGTGACTGTCGAGGATTGAGTCTTTTAGCTGACTGGAGGTAAGCTAGATTTTTATGGTCCGTCCAAACCACGATGGGGAGAATAGCACCCTCGAGCCAATGTCGCCACTCCTCTAATGCTAATTTGATAGCAAGTAGTTCACGATCCCCAACATCATAATTTCTCTCCGCGGGGGACAGTCTGCGGGAAAAATAGGCACACGGATGAGTCTTGTGATCACTTTCTGAGAGCTGAGAGAGAACGGCCCCTACTCCTGAATCTGAAGCATCCACCTCGACAATGAACTGTTTGGTGGGATCAGGCTGGATGAGAATGGGCCCGTTGGCAAAAAGGCTTTTTAACCTGGAAAAGGCTTCATTAACTCCACTTTTACAAACAACTTATTTTCCAGGAGGCGCTGCAACACCAGACGGACATGGTTCCTGTGCTCAAGTAAGTTCTTGGAAAAAATCAAAATGTCATCAAGATAGACAAACACGAACACATTCAGAAAGTCCCTTAGGACATCATTAACGAGAGCCTGAAAGCACGCTGGTGCGTTAGTTAAACCGAAGGGCATCACTAAATACTCAAAATGGCCTAATGGAGTCTAAAAGGCCGTCTTCCACTCATCCCCTTCTCTGATGCAGAGTAAGTGGTAGGCGTTCCTAAGATCTAGTTTTGTGAACTCCCTGGCCCCTTGAACTGGCTCAAAGGCAGAGGAGAGGAGTGGCAGAGGGTATTTGTTCTTAACAGTGATTTGGTTCAGCCTTCTGAAGTCAATGCAAGGTCTTAAAGATCCGTCTTTCTTCCCTACAAAGAAAAAACCAGCCCCTAAAGGGGAGGAGGAATGGCGGATAATGCCAGCTGCTAATGACTCCTGTATATATTTCTCCATGGTCTCCCTTTCAGGTTTGGAGATGTTGTAGAGTCGACTGTTGGGCAAAGGAGCCCCGGGTAGCAGATCTATTGTACAGTCATATGGTCTGTGGGGAGGCAGGGACGAGGCTTTAGATTTACTGAATATTTGAGCCAAGTCGTGATATTCAGCAGGCACTGAAGTGAGATCTGGTGGATCGGCCTCATCATTGTCTGCTGGTGGTGGGCCTGGCGGGACGGCAGAGCGGAGACAAGATGAATGGCAGGTTAAAGACCACGATTCAATGTATCAACTTACCCAATTTATATTGGGGTTGTGCTGTTGCAACCATTCGAAACCCAAAATCAACGGGGTACTTGCAGTTGGAAAAACATAGAATGAGATACACTCATTATGGTTGCCAGAAACGGTTAGTGGGATGGGTTGGGTCTGGTGAGTAATCTGTGGCAGCATCTTGCCATCAAGGGCTAGAACACGAAGGGGGGCTGGGAGAGGGACTGTCTGAATTCCCATCTGCTGCACAAAACATGAATCCAACCGATTACGTTCACATCCAGAGTCTAGCAAGGCGGAGACCGAATTGGAAGAAAAGAGAAGAGGTAAGAGAAGCAGGTAACAGTAGACGAGGTGAATTTGTGGTTATTTGATGGTCCGCCAGCTCCCTCGCCCTTACTGGCGGACATTGGTTTTTAACAGCAGGGGATAGACGGAGACGAAATGACCAGCTTCGCCACAGTAGAGACACAACTTAGAGCGCATTAAGCGCTGCCTCTCTTCTTGAGACAATTTTGTGTGTCCAATTTGCATGGTTTCGGGGCTGGAAAAATTCGGTGAGGGCTCAGCCGGGATGGTGCGGCTAACAACGGGAAGAGGTCTGGGTGGAGGATTTCTATTGCCTCTTTCTTTAATTCGGGCTCGAATCCTATTATCTAAGCGTATTGACAGTTTTATTAAGTCCTCCGAAGATTCGGGTTCATGTAGTGTTGCTATTTCGTCCTTAATGGGATTGTTTAAAGCGTTTAGGTATGCACTTTTGAGCGCTTTTATGTGTTCGCATCCATCTGAATAATATGTAGTTGCGACCCTGATTCCATCATGTAAAATTTCCTCAAATGAAACAGTCTTTTTAAAACTTAATTCATCCTTTAACTCTCTTTGTCTCTTTATTGAAGAATTTTGTTAAATATTTAAACCAGTTTTCTGTGCCATGCCCAGCTCAAAGGCGTGACACAAAAATGGGAGACAGACAAGCAAATCTACACAAACAATAATTTATTCATACAAAAAATATATAGCTCTTGGAGGACTACACAGCCAATCTGAGAGGAGCATGAACCAATGCTGCTGCCCATTCCGGTCTGATCCAGAGGTCAAGCAAGCAGGCCAGTGACTGGCTGGACGTCAGCTTTTATCATCAGGCCGGTGTGTTCAATTAGCAGCCCATCCATCTCCTTCCTGAAAAGAGGAAAAATAGAGGCCCCTACTGGACTGGAGGTGATTGTCACCCCCTTCCCCCATAAAAATGGAGTACCCAGTAGGACTCCAAAAGCACACCTGACGTTCATCGATGCTTTTCATTTTCTCCTGAGAAGAGGTCAACTTTCCCATAGCCATTTCCACCCCCACATACAAACGCCGTCTAAAACCATTGACGTAGTCGATTAAATTACTCGGAGGTTGTGAAGGTCCCACAGCATCATGCAACAATTTAAGCGGCCCATGCACTGCACGTCCAAAAACAAGCTTGTTTTGACTAAAACTAATGCTCTCCTGCACCATCATCAGGTCACTGCGAGAAACAGACAAAAGGGGACATCTACAGAGAAAATCACACTTTCCTTTGCTAGAAATAACAGGTTATGAGGACCAAACAGAGGAAGAGGACAGAGTTGGCTGTAGGAGCTGCTGATGTTTTGCTGCTGCCTTCAGTTTCGTGAATGAAACAATGAATGACACTTACCTCTGGTTGGACTGTGTGATCTGTTAAGAACTTCTATAGCTATGTGTCCGGCTGTTGACGAATAAACATTTCGTTCGGTGTTGTAGTGGTTTCACATTCAGTACCGGTGTTCTAGCTCCAGTAGCATTTCCAGTACTAATAGCTCCATTAGCGCTGCTTGTCTTTGACATTTCTCCCAGCATCTATAGCGCTGTATCTGGTTCGGCATCAGCTGTGCTTTATAGAGTCTGGTGTGGTGGTGGAAACAGTGACACTGGACTTTACCACCGACAATGGACCTCCATGGGTCCGGTCGGATCGATGATGTCAGTAGCGCAGGCAGTATAGCTCCTGTTCTCAAAGAGCGTCCAGCTCTGCCTGTTTCAGCGACAGTATGGCATTTATTTTTAGCTCGTTAAGGTAGCGGTAGACTGTGGTGGTCCTCCATTCTACTGATAAGACATTTAGAGTTCCAATATTGAGTGACAATGAAGAAGACACAGATTGTTTTCACAAGTATATGCCAAGGCTACTTATAACATTTACTAGCTATTTTATAATAACAAATCAGAATTGATTTATCCTTCATTCTCACAGCAAAGCCAATCATTTCTAGGTCAGTGTCACTCAAAAGCCCAGACTGCATTCCATTTCTATCTTGTCTCAGCACAAATTAGTTGAAAGCACTCCATTTTCTCTTTTCTGATATTCAGTGTTCTTGGAATGATTGATGTTACCACTCATTCTCAGGAGGTCTTTTTACAAATTAATTTTGTTTTAAAAAGCAAAAATTAAAACTTAGAATTTAGAAGACTTTTGGATCCAAGTAAAGATGTTTGACAACTTTTTTAGTTTTTAAGTTCAAATGTTCATGTTTCCAACAGATGTAATCGGTCCAAGTATGGAAAAACATGTCTAAGTGTTTTTGTTAGTATTTGTTAGTATGTTTTTTTTATTTATTCATTTTTGCCTGTTTTTAACTGATTGTTTTCAAATTTCATATCTTTCAGGAAGGTGATAAAAGAAGGCATTGGCTGCTTTAACCCGGCTTACGGAAAAGTCTCTCAAGGAGTGAAAGAAATTTGAAGGAAAAGATTGAGTAAAACCCAGGGAAAATGAAAACCTCCAGAGCCCTGACCCACTGAGCAACTGAACTGGAATGAAATCTTGATCTATTTTTCCTAATAGTAACCAAGTTAGCAATGAGTGGGCGTATATAATGGCCAAGAATAAGGATGCACGCTCCCTGACATTTTCCATTAGTGTGGTTGGCCTCTCTGGGACTGAAAAAGAAAAGGGCAACTGTGGAGTGGGCAAGTCCTGCCTGTGCAATCGATATGTGCGCCCAGATGCAGACAATTACTACTCTGAGCACACCTCAGTGCTCAGTACAATAGACTTTGGCGGACGTGTAGTCAACAATGACCACTTCCTTTATTGGGGGGAGGTGAACATTCGGGGGGAGGAGGGTTTGGACTGTAAAATCCAAGTAATTGAACAAACTGAGTTCATTGATGACCAAACATTTCTTCCACATCGAAGTACAAATCTACAGCCATATACCAAACGAGCTGCAGCAACTAAGCTCCAGTCAGCAGAGAAGCTTATGTACATCTGCACTGACCAGCTGGGCTTGGAGCAGGACTTTGACCAGAGGCAGATGCCTGATGGGAAACTGAACATTGATGGCTTTGTGCTTTGTGTTGATGTTAGTAAGGGTTGTAATAGGAAATTTGATGACCAAATGAAATTCATTAACAGCCTCTACTCACAAATCGTTAAGTCAAAGAAACCTATTGTTGTTGCTGCCTCAAAGTGTGATGAGTATATGGACCAGCATTTGAGGGATCTGCAGACCTTTGTGGCCAGCAAAAAGAATTTGATGTTAATTGAGACATCAGCACGTTTCAATGTCAACGTAGAGCACTGCTTCAATACCCTTATCCAGCAGATTGATAAAACAAGAGGAAAGCCTAAAACTATACCATACCAGGATGCCTATAAAGTCCATCGACAGCTCGCTGCCTCAGTAACAGAAAGATTTGAGAAGCTCATTGTGCAAACAGTGAGGGACTATCATATTACGTGGAAAACAGTCATAAATAACTTGAAAGGTCAGCCAGACTATGATGAGTTTATCACCCTAGAGGGATCTCGAAAAGCTCGCTCCATGTTCACAAAGTACATTGCACAACTGAAACAGGAGCACATCAAACGCCGGCGGGAAGAGTACTTAGTAACACTTCCAAAAACCCTTAACAATATTTTCTGTAGCCTGGAGGAAGTTGAACACCTATCATGGCCTGAGGCACAGACTATAATCCGAAACCGGCAAGATTTCCAGTGTTGGTTTGTGGTACTGGATCATACACCATGGGATGAGTCAGATCACATTGATAATAGTGATCGTAGAATACCCTTCGACCTCCTTAATACTCCTGATGGGGAGAGAATTTACTATTCCCATGTCCAGCACTTGCTATCTGAGAAAAGAAGGGTGGAGATGAAAGATAGGTTCAAGAAAACTCTGGAAAGGGTTCATTTTATTAGTCCAGGACAACCATGGGAGGAGGTCATGTGCTTTGTCATGGAAGATGAGGCCTACAAGTACATCACTGAATCTGACAGAAAGGATGTTTACTGTAGGCACCAGCAGGAAATAGTTGAAAAGGCCAAAGAGGATTTTCAGGAAATGCTGTTTGAGCACGCTGAGCTGTTTTATGACTTGGATCTTAATGCAACTCCCAGTTGTGACAAGATGACAGAAATTCACAGTGTACTAAATGAGGAGCCCCGGTACAGAGCACTGCAGAAACTTGCCCCAGATAGAGAGTCGCTACTCCTTAAACACATTGGGTTTGTCTACCATCCCACTAAGGAGACGTGCTTAAGTGGACAGAACTGTGTAGATCTGAAAGTAGAGCAGGTTTTGGCCAACAGGCTGGTACAGCTTGACCACGGACGCTCAAATCTCTACTATACCAGTGCCAACATTGATAAGATCAACCTCTGCCTTCTTGGAAAAGATGGGCTCTCACAGGAACTAGCAAATGAGATCCGAGCTCAATCCACAGATGATGAGTACACGCTTGATGGTAAAATTTATGAACTAGAGCTTCTTCCTGTGGATGTTAACTCCACTCTCCTATTCAGTCACACATGGGTTGCTACTTTCAAACCTCATGGCTGCTTTTGTGTGTTTAACTCTATTGAGTCTCTCAACTGTATTGGTGATTGCATAGGTAGGATCAGAGCAGAGATAGCACAGAATAGACGAGATCAGTTTGCTCAGCCACTCCCTTTTATTCTCATTCTTTCAAGTCAGAGAGACAATGTTTGCAAAAACATACCTATTCTAAGGCACCAAGGCCAGCAGCTTGCAAACAAGTTGCAGTGTACCTTTGTTGACATTCCCTCAGGAGCTTTTCCAAGGAAATTCACAGAATTCCAAATTAAGCAGGGGCTCAGGGCAGTGCTGGAAGGCCTTAAGCATAACTTGGATGTCTTGGCACCCCTACCGTGTATTAAAGACATGGCTGAGACAGATCTTAGAATAGTCATGTGTGCTATGTGTTGGGACCCTTTTAGTGTTGACCTCATCCTCTCACCTTTCTTAGATTCACATTGCTGTAGTGCAGGACAGCAAGGCCAGAGCAATACACTCATACTCGATAAGATTATTGGGGACAACCGGAAAAGGATCCAAGTCACTATACTCTCTTACCACTCAGCTATTGGTGTCCGGAAGGATGAACTTGTGCATGGCTATATTCTGGTCTACTCTGCCAAGCGCAAGGCATCAATGGCAACCCTACGGGCATTCTTGGCCGAAGTTCAAGATGTGATCCCCGTCCAGATGGTGGCGATAACAGACAGTCAAGCGGACTTCTTCGAGAGTGATGCCATAAAGGAGCTCATGACTGAAGGGGAGCACATTGCCACAGAGATTGCTGCTAAGTTCACAGCACTCTATTCCCTGTCACAGTATCACCGGCAGACGGAGGTTTTTACACCCTTCTTCAACGAAGTGCTAGAAAAAAAGCCAAACATTGAGAAGGCCTTCTTGCTTGACAGCTCCACTCGCGACTGCACCACCAGTGAAGATGTTTTCCCCACATCACCTCATAGTCATTTGCCAGCTTACACCGCCTATTATCCTGAATCAGATGATGATAATGAGGCCCCCCCACCTTACAGTCCAATTGGTGATGATGTGCAACTTCTGCCTACACCCAGTGAGCGGGCAAAGTACAGGATTGATCTAGAGGGAAATGAGTACCCCGTTCACAGCACACCTGCCGGAGACCATGATCGCAACCACAAAGTGCCCCCACCAGTCCGACCTAAACCTGTGCTCCCTAAGCCTAATGTAAAGAAGCTCGACCCCAACCTGCTTAAAACCATTGAGGCAGGCATGCGAAGCAATCGCAGGATGCCTCGTGGCCCAGTCACACACACTGAAGATGTGGAAACTTCAGACAACTATGCAGAGCCTGTTGACACCCTGGTTAGATCCAGAGGTTTCCACAGCGACAACATCTATGTTGTACCTGAAGACGCACACAGCCGTCTGGTGAAAATTACACCTCCATTCCTCCATTCAGGAGGAGATGAGGAGAACGGATTTGATCGAAAGTCTCAAGCCATGAGGCGACCGTCTAAGTACAAGCATCGTTCTAAGATCCTCTTCAGCAAAACAAAGGCCTATCAAAGACGATTTCATTCTGATAGTGATGGTGAAGAGTTTTGCCCTGCCACACAGAAAAAGAAAAAGGGAAGAGCCCATAGAGGCAGTGAGGAAGACCCTCTTCTCTCCCCAGCTGACCCATGGAAGATTGGTATAGATAATCCTGCAATCACCTCTGATCCTGAAGATGATAAGAAGATGAAGAAGAAGAAGACATCAAAGACACTGAAGGACCAGAAAAAGGTGAGTCTTTTCTATTATTCAACACTGGCACACAATCTTTTTTTTCATCTAAGTTTTTATTGGTTTTATAACAAATGAACAAAACTTTAAACAGGGAGGTCAGTGCTTATTGTATCAAAATAAAATGGGGGAACAAAACTAGTAACAACAAACAAAAGGTTAGTCACCTTAATGAGCTAGATTCATACTAGATGTCCAGAAGCAAATTTACTCAAAATCTTAACATATTTATCCTAAGCACTGAATACATCTGTGTTATGATGTTATGAGAGTACACATAACATCATATGTGTACTCTCATATGATGTACACATATGATGGCACATAATCGAGACATTGCATGTCTCGATTTATGTCTCATTGCATAAATCGCGGTAATCTTTGGGTATTACTGCATGTTGTAGTATTTTCATCTAATAGCTACTGGGAGTCACAAGGTATGCAAACTTGGGCTTGTACAACTTGTTGATGGCCTACACTACAGTAAACCTGTTAAAAGATACCTCCAGCACCATTAAGACTCTGGATGAAAAACTCAGGTACATGCTCTACCAGGAATAATGCTCCCATGTATCCATCAAACTGTTGAAACTAAGTGCAACAGAGACACCGGGATCTGGGACAGAGTACATCTAGTTTCCTCTGGACCTGGACAGCACCACTGGAGGGTCAGGAAACGGCACCCTGGGGCCAATAGGGGATCAATACTACTGGGCAGGAGAACAGTTCCTTCAAATTTGTGAGAGAATGGCCAGCCTGAGCACTTTGGGTGACTCTGCTGTTTATGCCTCTTTGTCAAGAAGACGTTCCTCACTCTGTGACCTGCTCTGGAACTAGAGGTTGATTTAAGATCATCTCTGTTCCTCCTGAAGTGACCAACAGAAGGGACATGAAGCAGAAGTGCAGGACCAGCACTGCCTCCCCTGCACACCCTGGTGGATACAACCTCCACCACCATCGTACTTTTCTCTGTGGTGAGCACAGAAGATGATTCTGAGATGGAGAATTCATATATAAAGAGGGAACTGCAGAGACTTGGGGAGAAACATCTGAAGGAAATCTCAGAGCTGCAAGCACATCAATGTGGAGAGGTGTAACTACTCTATTGCCGACTTGGTAAGGTTCCTCCTCCTGGCCTTGGCCTCTTACAAGTTGCACCGCATAGAAGCTGCAGGACTCTTCCTGGAGAGAAGAGTACATCTAGTTTCCTCTGGACCTGGAAACTAGATGTACTCTTCCTGGGAAGAAGTTCCCCAGCCCAGGGAACTTCTCAGCCCCCTAGATCAACAATTTGGGCATGTCAAAACGAAAAGCAGTGACTCCGCTAAACCCCAGGTGCTGCTCCAGGGTCAAGTCAGCCAGGAGCGAGTTTAAATGGTTCTACATGCTGAACTCGACCCACGGCAGGCCATGGTCATGTGCCAGCCACCTTCCCAGCTCTGCTTCAGAGCCAGTGAGGACTCAACAACCCTGCTCTCTGAAAGGCTCTCTGTCCTCTGATAACATCTATGCTGGGCAACAAGGAGATGTCACTTGCACACAAGCTCAAACTGAACTAGGGCCAACACTCAAAAGGTCGTGTCTTGGTAAGGAGCGAGGTTGCAGGTCTTGGGCTTCAGCATCAGTCAGTCACAACTTTGCCTTTCCTGCTGTTTCCTCCACCCTCTCCAGCAGTACTTCATCTTCATCTCATAAGCTGACTGACCCCAAGGCAAAGTCTCTTTTGGTAGCATTGTCTCTTCCAATTCTGTTACCAAAACCGTAATCTGTATTACAGCCGTTCATCAATATAATGTGCATAAAGTCTATATATTTAACCAGCATGTGTTAGGTATTGGTATCACTGTATTATTGTTTCTGTAGGGAAATTTTTCTAGCAGCAATGGGAAAAAAACAAAACGGGAAAAGCACAGATTCAATTATACATTGGCAAAACAAGTAAAGAAGTCTGAGAAATGTCTCTACAGATATCAATATGAAATGCTCAGACTAAATGACAATTAGGGCTGCACTGTGGCGCAGTTGGTAGTACTGTGCCACTGCACTCCTGGGTTTCAATCCCAGCCTGGGGTTTTTCTGCATGGAGTTTGAATGCTCTGTAACACTATTTGACAGACATGACTGACATGACACTGTCATAAACATGACATAACACCTGTTATAAAGGGAGTTTTTATGAATCTCTATGACTGTTGTCATGAAGTGTCATTTGATAAATAATGACGCCTTTAATGCAAAGTTGCTCTAAAAGTTGCACTGAAAGTCCATTAAAAGTGTCAACTTTGTATTATTTTGCATATAATCACATTTTTAATGCAAAGTTGGCAACTTTTAGAGTGACTTTGCATTAAGTGTCTTTATTTACCGAATGACACTTCAACAGTCATAGACATTTATAAAGACTCCTTCATGTTATATCATGTTTATGACAGTGTTGTGTCAGTCTAATTCACATCCTGTCAAAGTGTTACCGAATGCTTTCTCTAAGCATGCATAGGTTCTCTCCAGGTATTCTCTCCCAAGTACTCTAAATTCTCCTGAGGTGTTAGTGTGTGTACATGATTGTTTGTAGTGTCTGTCTCTGTATTGCCCTACGATGGACTGGTGACAAGTTTATGATGACCCTGCCTCTCGCCTGCTGAAAACTGGAGATGGGCACCAGCACCCCTCATGACCCGTCCGTCCGTCCGTCCATCCGTCCGTTTTCTTACACCCTTGTCTCTACTCCCTAGTGGAGTCGGGAGGGCTGCTCGTGCCTATCTTCAGAAGTCAACAGGCGAGAGGTACACCCTGGACAGGTCGCCAGTCCATCACAGGGCAATACAGAGACAGACAGGACACACAACCATGCACATACACACGCACACCTAAGGAGAATTTAGAGAGACCAGTTAATCTAACAGTCATGTTTTTGGAGAAAGCTCCAAAATGTTGTGGGAAGAAACTGGAGTACCTGAAGAGAACCCACCATGCACAGGGAGAACATGCAAACTCCGTGCAGAAAGACCCCGGGCTGGGAATCGAACCCAGAACCTGCTTGCTGCACCACTGTGCAGCTCCCTCATGACCTGACTAGGGATACATTTGTAAGATAATGGATGTATGGATAAATGACATGTAGTGTTTTATTGGTAAATGCATGGTTTAAAATTAGAAAACATACTCCCCAATTTAGGTAAACTATACAGTGGTGTATCAGTGCTAAAGCATGTTCATACACCTGACGTTTTTGTTTTTCCTGATGGACAAATCCAAGATGAAGATTTATGGGCCAAGTCAGTGTGCAAATCAGCAGAGAAATGCCTTCTGGTGCCACATGACAGCCATGAATACTGAGCATTGTTAGAACTATGATGCTTTTAGATCAACAGATGAGAATGAAGAACAACTCTATTGACTGTCCTGGCCAATTGCAGAAGAGCAGAAAAGAGTATGGAGAAATCTAAGTTACCAGCATGATAAAAAGGAATTTAGTCTTGTTCTGTTCTCATCTGAAAATGATTCAAATTAAATCCTAAATGTACAAAACAGGCTGCACTGCGCAATTATTTATGAAAGTAAATAATTTTGCCAAGCAAAATGGAATTTTTCCTGAAAAATTAAGTATGCTTTCAAGTCATGCTAATCTAGAAAAATTCCAGTCTGCATTCTTTTTTCCAGCTCAGCACCTTGCGACTCTCCTGACTGAACTCCTCCCAGCTGTCATCACATCAACATGAATTCTCCTGACCTCTCCTGTCTTCCTCCATTGCTCCTCCTATTTCATATCTGTTAATACTGCTAAACAACACATACAATTGTACACAATGTCTTGTACAAATACTCACAAAATGTTCAAAATTTATGTAGCTTTAATAATATATCTTTTTGCTGTTACGCTGCTTTATAAGATTCTTCTGCTTCTGCTATTAAACTTTCAACATTATCTCTGCATCTGTTAACGGTTTACTTTTTCAACCTCCTTTAAAAGACCTTCTTCCTTCTAAATGTATTTGTTCTGTCGCTCATTCTTGTCTTAATGTTCCTTACTGACCTGTTTTGTTGTTACTACTTTCTTTATTGTTTAGTATTTCTTGATTGATTCAATTGCCTTCCAGAAGCTTCTGAAAATTCTCATCTCCCTTTTACTTGTAGCCCAAATCGACCAAGCCCCCGAAGCCACTTTACCCACCCACTCGGAGAACCTGGGACAGCAACTACTTTGGCGTTCGCCTGCAGAATCTGGTGACTTCAGAGCGTCCCATCCCACTCTTCATTGAGAAATGTGTTGAATACATAGAACGCACAGGTCAGCCACTCATTTTCTCATCTTCGGTCAGTTTTTTTTTAATCTACAGCGTGAATTTCTTCAGTTCTTTCAAAAATACTTATCCATCTTTTTAAATGTTGACTTCTTTCTACTTGTAGAAACCCATTCCTGTGGATTTAGTTAAACAATGTTGGCTTTTTTCACATGATTGATTATTTGACACTTTATTAAATAATCCCAAAAGGAAAATTTCTCAGATAAGCACTTTTGAATCAATTTTGCTCAATATGACTTGGATTAAAGAAGCTAATAAATAGATGGCAACACAGACTTTTACAGAGAAGAGGTTTTTTTCTGAAGAAATGAAGAAAAATAGTGACTGTGGGGATATGTTTTCCTCATTCATGCTAGAGTGACTTGTGGTTGTTGGATCATTTATGTTTTTTTTTTTTTTTTTGGAAATGAAACAGACACAAACTAATATAACCAGCCTCTCAAGTGAAACAAGAAGCTCTGATTACACCCCATGCTAATGTTCTAGTATAGATGATACACAGTCAGTGTGAAAGGTAATTGAGTTAAAGGTCAGTGTTTTTAGACATTTCATGGTAAAATGGCTTGTACTTGTATAGCGCTTTATCAAGTCCAGAGGACTCCAAAGCGCTTCACACTATAGTCATTCACCCGTTCACCCATTCACACACTCACTCACACGCTGATGGTGGCAAGCCACTGGATAGCAGCCACGGCTGCCCTGGGGCCAGGCTATCATACACCAGCAGGCAAGGCGAGTTCGCCCTGCTGATTGCAGATACTGTCACTACCATCACCTCTATATTATTATTAGAAGAGGAAACTAAAGCAAGTTTATTGTCTCTGAGTGTGTTGACGTTTTTTTTTTTTGTCTTAAATAGACCAAATTATGTCTGAAATCCTCATCTCTAAACTGGTCTGGTGCTACTTTTCCTTCTGACCACAGAAATGAATATTTAAATCATTCATTCATGTTTTAGCAGTTTGATGTATTATGAATATTAATGTGGCCCCACAGACTTTCACATTTAATGCTTTTATGAACTCTAAGAAGTAAAAGTGTTCCTTGCTAAATCTTTTCAAAGTTACTTTTTTGCCTGTCACAGTGGTCTAGACTGGCCATATCCCGACTCTTTAACTTCTTACTAAATTTAACATTGGTAAGAAGTTTTATAAATTGGCAAAACAAGCTTTCTCAGCACTATTATAGAATATTAAGTCGGTGTTCTAAATACACCAAATATGTTGTTTTATCAAGATAAAATGCTCACAAGTCTTTTCAAGACTGGGTTTGTAATTATATTTAGAATGGCTAAGGTTCAGTAGGATTTGTATCATTTTCATGTTTCAAGGGGCATTTCTACTACATGTTAATGTTCTTCTGAATGCACTATTTCACCTGTTATGTGCCATGCTTTGTTTTTTAATCAGAATTCAAATTTGGTGTAGTTTTTGGATAAAATAAATAACATTAGCAAGCTGGAATCAGTACAGTGTGATTTTGGATGATTCACCAAATCCATTGTTCAGTTTGCTTTATTTTTTTATATTGACATTGTGACACCATTAAACCCACCTGCTATTTTATATATGAATGGGCAGACATTACTTATGGTATCATTGTTGGCCTTAAATTCTTGCTGAGAACATAAATAGTCATTCTAAACTATTAACTAAACAAATATAATATAATATAATATAATATAATATAACTAAACAAACTATCACTATGTTGTGACAGTATAATTTGAGACAGAGAATATGTAATAAAAATTCAATCTCCTTTTCCCTATGAACCTGGTGTCGTCTGCACAAATACACTGCTCGTTTGGAATCAACCAATCAGAGCCAGAAGAGGGGTCTTGGCACTGTCAGTCATCCTCATGTATGCGCCGCTCACTCTCTCTCCCTTGCTCTCTGCTCCGTTACTTGTTCCCAAAAGCTGAGCCTGCCATGACTGCTCCATCAATGGTTTTCCTCGAGCATTAAGTTGTTTCTCTGCCCCATTAGCACGTATTTTTTGTAAATGTTACGTACTGCAGCTTTAAGATGTAGCTGATGTTGAAGTACTCCATCTCTTATAAATTGCTACATTTGCATATCTTACTCCATGAAACAGTGTTTTAGTTCTGGTCATGGCATTAGTTATTTCTCCTAATATGCATAGTTGTTATTTGATGTCTTTTGTGGTTTTCTGCTTTTTGCATTTTTGATGCTTGCTACAAACCTATTTCCCTTTGGGATATGAATAAAAACTGAACTGAACTGATTATCCTCTCTTTTTACTGAGAGGCTGTGTAAAAGACGTGGGAAGTAGATTTTCTTTTCACCTGACTCCTCTTTCTTCGTGGCTCTGTGAAGAGGAGAAGGGCCCACGGGATTCTGGCACTTCCCTAGATGAGCCAACATACTGGGGCAACACAGGTTGCATAATCCAGAGTTCTGCTGGAAACACGCAACCATGAACCCCCATTACCTGTGCGTTAACATTATANAATGNAATCCACAGAGATCACGGACCCCGTGTGCTTTCACTTCCTATTCCTGAGATTACAGAATTAAATGGGCATGATTTTACTTGCAGGAGACTCCCATGGATAAATCCAAAAATGAACTACATGTCTTGATTATCTTGCATGCTGTCTGATTGCATTCAGTGTTCCCGCTTCAGGGGCCTCATGCATAAAAGAGTGCACAGTTTTCACATTAAAACTTGGCGTATGGACAAATTTCGAAAAGTGTGTTGCACAAAAAAATCGGGATGTATAAAGCCGTGCGCACCTTTCCTGTATAAATCCTAATTTGTGGGAAATAAAGCATAGTTGCTGGTCCGCCCTGTCGCCACCCTTCAATACATCACGTGAAGCAATAACCATGACAACGTCCTTGTTTATAGCAGTATAAATATTTATAATAATAATAATTATACATTTTATTTAAAAGGTGCTTTCAGCGCACATGAGGTCACCTCACAAAAATAAAAATAATACATTTTAAGGAAAAATGTATTGTTTTTGACCATCAAGCACTTCTGGACATTAAAACTTTGGTAGGTCTCCTGAATGTCGGGCGCCGCTGGATTCACCCTGTTCTGGGGATGTGCTCTTCAACGGATGGACACGGTGGAGTTTTTCTATCATCGACGGTTTTGAGATTAACGGAGGGATGTGGATTATGGAAACCTCAAGCGGTTGGACTATGTTTCATCTTCGACTTGTGCTGCTGTACCATCAACCATCCGCTTGGCCTTGATTAATGCAAGATCTTTAGCCAACAAGACCTTCATGCTGCACAACCTGTTTACTTCTTGGGATTTGGATTTTTTTATTCATCACAGAAACTTGGCTACAAGAAGGTCATTTGTCCCCATTCTCTGAACTTCTTCTGCAGAACTGTGCTTTTATAAATTCTCCCTGGTTGACTAGCAAAGGTGGAGTTCTGGCTACAATTTTTAAATCCAATTTCCACTGTAGACAGTAATCTATAAATTCGTTTTCCAGCTTTGAGCTCCTAGTATTTGCAGTGAAATTAATTGAACCACCATTGTGTGTGGTGGTTTACTGTCCGCCAAGATTTAACAAGGACTTTAAAGTAATCCATGCCATAAATTCTGAAAATTCATGAATAGAGTATGGTCATATTTTAATATATATGTATGTTGTCTAGATAAACTTCTGGTGAAGGACTTTTTGGACTTGATCGACTCATTTTATTTTTCACAATCTGTGTTTGGGCCAACACACTTAAAAGGGCCATACTCTGGATCTGGTCTTATCACATGGGCTTTGTTTGGATACCATTGAAATCCTTCAGACATGTATCTCTGACTGATCATTTGCCTGTTTTATTTTAGATTAATATTTGATTTTCTGTGGATACAAACAATACCAAACCCTTAATTTCTCATATAAATTCTGGAACTGCTCTCCAACTAAATGCAGTCCTTGTTAATACTACATTCCCTACTGATGGCAATCTTGATATTGAAGCTCTTATTTTTAACTTTAACAACGCATGCTCAGATGCTCTAAGTAGTATAGCCCCCTTGAAAATTATAAAAACTACAAAAAATAAATTATTAGAGCCATGGCTTAAATGAAATACAGGTGTGCCAAGAGGAGGTGGAAAAAAGATAAATTGCAGATTTCGTTTGAAATTTTGAAAGATAGTTTATTTAATTATCAGAATAATGTTAAATTAGCAAAATCTAAATATTTGATTAATCTTGTAGCTTCAAATAGGCACAGGCCTCAAGTCCTCTTTAGTGTCCTGGATAGGATTGTTAATCCTTCTACTATATCAGGCCCTTTAGCCACTGTTGCACTTTGTGAGGCTTTTTCTAAGTTTTTCACAGAAAAAAATGTAGCTCTTAGAGGCTTGAATACACTGTTAGATTTAGATTCCCATGGAATGCCACAATGCACAGCTACTCTGGACCATTTTCACTAGATGAACTGACCTCAGTAATTAAACATCTGTGGCCATCAAATTATCCTTTGGGCTGTCTTCCTACTCGTCTGATGAAAGACATTTTTGTCACCTCTGGTTCTTACATCTTAATGGTGATAAATGCCTCACTGCAGTCAGGTTGCGTCCCATCAATTCTTAAACATGCTGTGGTTAAACCCCTACTTAAAAAACCCAATCTAGATTCGAGTGTATTAGACATTTTTAGGCCCATATCTAAACTCCCCCCTTTTTTTTTATCTAAGGCCCTCGAAAAGTTGTTTTTTTTTTTATTCAACTTGAAACCATTTTAAAAGATTATAATATAACTGAGAAATTTCATTCTGGGTTTAAAGCTGCTCATAGTACTGACACAGCTTTGCTTCGAGTGTATAATCTTCTTTTAACGTGTTATTCAGGCAACGTTGCTGTTTTATTACTTTTAGATCTGAGCGCTGCATTTGACACTGTAGATGATCAGATTATCTTATTTAGATGAAAAGATTGTGTTGGCCTGAGAGGCTCAGTTTTGGAATGGTTTAAGTCATATTTAGAAAACAGAACTTTCTCAGTCCATCTTGACCAATGTTGTTCTGGGGCTAAACCTTTAAAGTACGGCGTCCCCCAAGGCTCACTGCTCCTATTCTATGGAATAATCTGCCTTTCCAAT